GCGGCAACTTGTTGGGTGTGCTTAAGACTGGCCCCAAGGATCAAAGTTCTAGTTCTGATGCACTCTTGAAACCAAAGATTTATCCCATTTTTCCTTCACAAGGTAAAAAAAATTACCCAAAGTTATCTCTCAGTTTGTAGCTGGAGAGGTTTTTTTGCTACTTAAAATGATGGAGACTCTCCTAGTCTTCCTAGGAGGATATCATAACAAACTTCTGGATTTCCACCTGTGATTCTGAAGGCATTTAAAGCAATTCCTCTTTCTACAAGGACACTACAGGGGGAAGGCGAAAGAGGGAGAGAGGTCGATTTTACCCTTGAGTTCATAAGCAAACAAATCCCTTGAAAGGGCTGAGGATTCTTACCTTTAAGAAAATTGGAGTACAGGAATTGCCATACTGAAACAGATGCAAGATCCACCTAATTCGGTCTTACAGTGATCAATAACAGATGCTTCACAGGAAGATGTAAGAACCTCACACAAAAGGCAGATGTGGGATCATCGGATATTGGGTCTTATCCTGATCTCTAATAGTTGTAGATTGGCTTAAACCCCGAAACTCTGGTTTAATACCCCTTCCAAAACTTGTTCTAACAACTCGGGATATTCTTGATATCCATATAGAATGTACAATACCTTTTTGAATCTTGTGAAGTTTGTGGCCTCAATGACATTTTGTAGCAATGAGTTCCACCATCTAATTACATGTTGTGTGACAAAAATATTTCCTTTCATCTGTTTTGAATTTGCCATGTTTTAATTTTGTTGAATGTCCCTCTGTTCTTGTGTTATAAGACGGAGGAACAGAAGTTCCCAGTCCATTATCTCTAGAACATTATTGTATATACTTCCATTATATCCCCTCTTACTCGGATCCTTTTCTAATGTAACAATCCTCATCTTCCCGACCTTGATTCAGCAAAGAGGTTTTTTTTCAGGTCCTTGATAATTTTTGCTGCTCTTCTCTGAACCCCCTCCAGTTGTGCAGTATTCTTTTTAACACTGAATGGCCAATACTGCACACGGAATTCCAGATGAGGCCGCACCACTGATTTATATAAATGTATTATAATATTCTTCACATTATTCACCATCACATTCCTTATGCAACTTGACATCTTGGTAGCTATTTTGATCACGGCTGCAAGGTGAGAAGAGGTCTTCATTCAACTGTCTACTGGGACACCCAGGTCCCGTTTGTGATTTGATACAGTTAGTTTAGAATTCTGTATGATGTATGTGTAGTTTAATTTTTTCCTCCAATGCATTCCTTTGCATTTGTCAACCTTGAATTTCTGATTGATCTAGCTGATTTAGGACTCTCTGCAGTTATCGCAGTCCTCTCTGGTCCCATCTGACCTAAATAAATGTTGCCATCTGCAAAATTTGCCAAGTCACTGTCCACAACCCTCTTTCCATACCATTAAATGTTAAAATATGGGACCTACTACACAACTTTGCAGCCCCTACTAACAACCTTTTACCATGATGAAAACTGACCATTTAATCCTCTTTGCTTTCTATCTCCTAGCCACTATTTTTTGATTCATGACAATACTTTGCGCCTCACCCCATGACTCTCCTTAGGTTCTTTAGTAGCCTCTTGTAGGACCTTGTCAGAAGCCTTTTAAAAGTTCAAATACATTTTGTCAGACGGTGGTTCTTCATCCACTACTCTACTGATATGATTAGTGAAATGCTATTTTCCTTTGCTGAAACTTCGCTGGTTAGACCTTTTCATATCATGAGCTTCCAAGTGTTTTTTAATAGTTTTTTAATTATCATTTGAACTGAACTGCCAGATAAAGATGTAAGGCTTAAAGGCTTTTAATTCCCCAGGATCACCCCTAGAAACTTTTTAAAAATATAGTTACAACATTTGCTACCCTTCAATCCTCTGGAACAGCAGCTGGTTTCAATGAAATGTTGCATATTTTGTTAGCAGCTCAGTTACTTCATACCTAAGCTCCTTAAGAACTCTTCAATGGACCATCTCAGCCTGGTGATTTATTACATTTTTATTTATCAATTTGCTTCTGCACCTCCTCTTCTGACACCTCAATCTCAGAGTATCTCATCATTGTTATCAGAAAAGCGTTGGTCCAGGGGTAAGAAATTCCAGGACTTTTTAGCACAATATCTATATATATATATATAAAACCCCACACACACTTCCCGTTTCGGTGCTGGCTTAGCACCTGTATGATGTGCTAACAGAAGAGGGGTGCCTCACAGTCTTTGAACAGTTCCAAAATTTTTCATCTTTGCTCATTTCATAGTGCCCAACTGGTAGGTGCCTGACTCCTCCTCCTGGTGTGCTAAGAATAAAGCTACTTGGCGGTGCCACCAGTGAAACAAGGGGTTAACCGCACCAAGGCAGTGACCACCACACTTGGCCTCTCAAATAATTCAAACTCACATAAGCAAACAAATTAAAAATAACTATAAACTTTATCTAAGAATTTGAATAAAGAGAAATACACAATCAGTAAAAATATTCAATGATTAAAATGATTAGCGATATTTATAATGTTTTTTAATTACTATAGGCTATGCTGTCAAGCACACTAGGTCACATGACCACACACACACAAATATTCCTAACCAAAAGTGATTCTCCTCTCAGTTTTGTCCATCTCTCCTGTCTCAGGTACCCAGACGGTGCATATGGACATCTGTTAGAAACACACTTGAGAATCAGAAATGTAGGGCTGGAAGGGACCTCGAGAAGTCAAACTCCAGTGCCCTGTGATGTGGTAGAACCAAGTAAACCTAGACTATCCTTGACAGATGTTTGTCCAACTTGTTTTTAAAAGCTTCCAATGATGGGACTCCATGACCTCCCTTGGAAGCCTATTCTAGGGCTTAATGATCCTTATAGTTAGAAAGTTTTTCCGAATATCTACCCTAAAGCTCCCTTGCTGCAGATTAAGCCCATTACTTTTTGTCCTACCTTTAGAGGACATGGAGAACAACTCATCACAGTCCTCTTTATAACAGCCCTTAACATATTGGACTTATCTGGTCCACCGTCAATCTTCTTTTGTCAAGACTAAACACACACAGTTTTGTTAACCATTACTCATAGGTCAGGTTTTCTAAACCTTTTATCATTTTTGTTGCTCTCCTCTGGACACTTTCCAATTTGTCCACATCTTTCCTAATTTCCCTATTACTTGTTGCCTGCTGTAATTTATACTGTTTATTGGCTTTACTAGCACCACATTTCCAAAATTTGAAGGATTTGTGTTTGGCTATTAAAAAAACACAAAAAAAACAAAAAAAACAAAAACTGTTGAACCTAATCTTGTGGTACTTGTTCCAAACATTACAGTATCATTACTGTAAAATGCCATATTTTGGACTATTACTGAAGAATACAGTAACACCTTTTTATATGCATCCGAAGAAGTGGGCTGTAGTCCACGAAAGCTTATGCTCTAATAAATTTGTTAGTCTCTAAGGTGCCACAAGTACTCCTGTTCACCTTTTTATAAGGTAACTAAGATGAATCCAATTATTTAACTAGCTGGAGTTTTCCCTTTACGAAACCACAGATCCATTCTGGTCTTTGACCTTCTCTTGTGTTCTTCTAAAGAAGCTCATTTTTTCAGGGGATTGGGAAAAGAAGAGACTAATGCTGGAGATGGACGTGGTTTCAATTCAATTTAATGAAAACCATGTGGGTCACTTTGAGCATCACTCTGCTCATCCGATGGACCATTTATTCTAATTGTAACAGGGGAAGAGTAGCAGAATAAATCCATGATTTATCATAGTACTACAATTTATCTCCATTATCCTCCTGTTTCTGAAGCTCACAACTTTGGGTTATCATGGATTCTTATGTCCTTCTCTCCTCACATACAGGCTCTCTCCAAATCTTGTCATTTCACTCTAAAACATTTCTTAAAATCTGTTCTTTCCTTCATAGTCCCATATCATAACTCTCATATTTGAGCTACTACAACCTTCCCTATCATCACTCCATCTGTTAATCCTTCCTGATATATACTTCTCCACTCTTCAGTCTAAAATCCAGAAGCGAAAATAATCTTCCAGATGCTCTGACCAAGTCACCCCCTTCCGAACCCAAAGACCTTCAGTGTCTCGCTATCATTGAATCGTAGAACGGGAAGGGACCTCGAGAGGTCAAATAGTCCAATCCCCTGCACTCATGGCAAGTCTAAGTATTATCTTGACCATGCCTGACAGGTGTTTGTCCAACCTGCTCTTAAAAATCTCCAATGGCGGAGATTCCACAACCTTCCTAGTCAATTTATTCCGACGCTTAACCACCCTGACAGGAAACTTTTCCTAATGTCCAACCTAAACCGCCCTTGCTGCAATTTAAGCCCTTTGGTTCTTGCCCTAGCCTCAGAGGTTAAGAACAACAATTTTTCTCCCTCCTCCTTGAAAGTCCCCTCTCAGTCTTCTCTTCTCCAGACTAAACAAACCCAGTTTTTTCAAAACTTCCCTTATAGGTCATATTTTCTAGATCTTTAATAATTTTTGTTGCTCTTCTCTGGACTTTCTCCAATTTCGTCCACATCTTTCCTGAAATGTGGTGCCCAGAACAGAATACTCTAGTTGAGGCCTAATCAGCACAGAGTAGAACAGAAGAATTACTTCTTGTGTCTTGCTTACAACACTCCTGCTAATACATCACAGAATGATGTTTGCTTTTTTTGCAATGGTGTGACACTGCTGACTCATATTTAGCATGTTATCCAGTATGACCCCCATATGAGCTGTATTAGCTCATATAGCCTGCAGTTATGTCAAGTCACAGAAGTTACCACACAAAACTGCATCATACGTGAATAATGTTAGCCATTCTGGCCTCAAAGTGCATTTCTCTTTTAGAGTAAGAGACACCCTTTATATGAAACACACGCACTACATTAAATAAGTACACAAGCAGGCGTGTAGTTTCATCTGTCATCACTTCTTCCTCTGGCTTTAATCAATCCTGATGATCTTCTCTTACAAACTCTTACCTGGCTGTGGTGGATGAGGGGGGGGCATCTGGTGGTGCATCATAGGGTATGGAGGGGGCTGCTGATGAGGCAGCATGCCTGGATGACCCGGTGCCCCAAGTGGGTTCATGCCAGGCCCACTGGAATGCTGGTGCGATTGTTGTGTGTTCTGACTGTGCTGCTGCTCCATTTGCTGGCGGGCCCTTAATTCTGCATATTTCAACTGCTCCATGTGGAAGTTCTGTCGTTCTGTCAGCAACTGCTGCCTCTGCTGTTCTAACTGCAGGCAAGAGAAAAAACATTCAATTTAGAAATATGAAAAGATGTAAGAAGTGCTCCCCACAATGATAGACATTCTTATTACCAATTGGCAACTTACCTGCTCAGCTCACCATTATTTTGCAGTCAGGATGACAATACGTGCCATTAAAGAGGGATATTGTCTGTTACCACCCACAGCAGTTAGTTAACTCTACCATGGTGTTTCCATTCCAGGGAACACCATGGCACTACAACTACAATTTAACCCAAGATAGACTGTAAATGTTCACCTCCTCTCAATTCTGCACGCCATCACTCTCTCCTCTGATCCAGTTTCCTCTCCATGTTGCACTGTGGGAAAGACAATCCCTAAGAAGGAACTGGATGCAACCAGAGGAGTTTTCTGTGGAAAGACTTCACCACCGAATTCTGCCCCAACAGCATGTGCTCACAAAGTTCATACGGGGTCCTAATTCTATGCCTAGATTTCCAGAGTGAAATCTATGCCTCAAGGCACCCCTTAACCATTGATTTGGATTGCTGAGGCTAATACGGTTTCATGTTTGGACCAACTGCCTTTTCCTTGAACTTTTTAAAAACACGTTGTTATTGTGCTTTCAGTACAAAGCTTTGTAACAAGTAACCTAGATGCTGAATAAATAAGCCATCTGCAGAAGACACTTCTTACTATGGGGCTGTTACTATCTGATCTTCTCATTATGGTTAGAAAAGCTCATATGTAAATCTTAGCTAACTCTAAGCCCAGCAAAGTGTAACAGATAAGTGTGTCCTTGTACCTCTAAATGTTTTAATCTAGTTGAGGTATACAGCAACATAGCTTTCACCAGATCCATCCAAACCCCCTTCTGTTCAGTTAGTCATGAAAGAAAAGCAAAAATGTGGGGAAATGGGATTCTGGAAAGTAACCTATGAAGTTTATCAGCTTGACAACGTTATTGTAAAACACATCCACCTTGCTAGCCAGGAAGCTGATCAGAGACCAAATACCAGCCTCTGAGGCACACTGCTCAAATTCCTTTCCCAGTTTCTTTGCAATCTCAACACAGCTGAGTTACGCTTTGTGAAGATGAACTGCCATGTCTAGATACAAACTATACTCTTCTTTCCCTTCCCCGAGAAGAATGAAACAAAAGAGAGATGTTGTGATTTTTCAATAAAACCAAAAACATCCTCTCCACCCCAGAAGCTAAATGCCCGTTCAAATAGAAGAATAGAAGCATTTAAAGCTATAATACAAACTATGGGGTCTAAAGAACAGTTTGTCTGCATTCAGAGTCCTTTGCTCATTGCAAACATACTTTAAGATTTCTAGAAGAACTCCACTCCACAAAACATTATGCAGCAGACTGTTCACTACCAAAGTGTGAATGAAAAAACATTAGGCCACAGAGCATTCACCAACAGAACCAGATGGCGACCAGAGCCAATGAATAATGCATAGCTCTTGTGGGGGGCTGTTTTCAACATGTAATGACCACAATGTGTTTATTCATGCTGCCATGATTTCTTTGTCCTTGACCAATTTGACACTTTACCAGGAGGAACCTGATACAATGAAAAGACAAAAACTCCAATGGTGTAATGGTTCATGTGTGAAAACAGAAACAATAGGTGGCAGGCAGTTCACAGCAAAATTGCTTTAAGGGCCCTGAGAGCAAGGCTTAATAAAAAGAGATACCACTGCAGCCTACTTTTATATTCTAACACATTCCTGATTCTCCATCTGCAGGCCACCTTCTCTTGTTGAAATACATGTAAAGAGGGCAATCCGGTAGAATGTTATTACAAACTTCCTCACAATGCAAACAAACGTCTAGCAATATGCATCAGATCTAAATGCTTTTGAAAGCTTTTCTTCAACACATTTTCCCCACTGGGATGGCAAAAAGGATAGGGGGACAAGAACAGACAGTCCCACAAAAGAGACTCATGAAAGTTGAAGGCTCATGTGAAACATACATGAGCTGTGATGCAAGTCAGGCCTAAAATTGATTCACAGCCCAACATAGCAGGTTCCACATGCTAGCTCGGAAACCGCTGAGCCACAGTCCATGAGAAGTGCAAAAACAAAACAAAAAAAAACAGATTTAAAAAGACACGTAACATATTGTTATGTCAATAGAATTAGGCTTCAGGAGGGTTTGTCATCAATACAAATAGGTTTTGCGTCGAGGCAGATCAAAACATCAGTACACATGCATTTAACTTTCAGTTCTCAGAGCCAGGTGATAACCTGACGATGACAAATCATACAGGAGCTAGATTAGATTGTCTCAGCCTGGATCACCGTGCACATCTGTCCACATCACAAACCAGTGCATGAACAACTTGACTCATGGAGGTGACAGGAAATGGAAAGAAATGCTATGTCCAGGAGTCACAAAAGGCTCTTCAGTACATTTGCTGTAAACATCTAATCTACAACAGGAAAAGGTTTAGGCACAATGTTTTCAAGCTGCCTCCAAATGATGCACAATTAGAAATGACTTATAAATATCTAACATGTGCACACTACAGCAGCCATCACTGGTTCATCATTCTACCTCCCACACTGCCTTTCCATGACAGTAAAAAGAGTGCGTTCATTCATATGTTACCGCAACTTCTGGCTCAACAATGCTGCTATCAATAGAATCTCCAGTTACACATAATCAGCGCTGACAGCACTGAAATAGCTTCAGATTACAAATAGAACAAAATGGGTTATGCATAAAACCTCCTCCCTCCTACCCCCCCAACCCCACTTGCAGATTTCTTTTAACAATTACAAGCAGGTGACCTTTACTCTAATAGAGGGCTGAGACACCTCAAGTGGAGCTGTATGGACATGTGGGTATGGAACCTGCCACAATACCGAGGAACTTCTGTTTTGGTTAAATTTAATTACTCCACTAAATATCCAGCGTGTCAGTGGAATAAAGCTGAATTTTGGCCACCAGGAGCCAGGGGGGAACTCATACATAGAATATTAAAAAAGAAAATGTCAGGCTGCCTCAAAAAGAAGAAAAAAAGAAAGAAAGGCTGTCACTGTAATGGAGTTTTTCCCCTAAAGATAAGAAAATCTACAGAGAACCTTTTCAACTTAGTTACGGCCATTTCTTTAGTTGCCAATCAGTGTCAGAGGCAGACATGCACAGTGACACAGCTGAGGATACGAGGCAAAGAAGAACCTCTTGTTGACGTTCTAGTCTGATAAAAGACCACAGTTTGTCAAACTCTATCAGTCTGACTAATGCTAAGATGCGGATGTAAATTCCATTAAATTCACATGTGAGGACTGCCAGAATGTCACAGGAATTGCATCATATCTTTCCCCCCACCCCAGCAGTCCACTCCAAGGGTGTCCAATAAGGTCTCCAGCGGTCACATATATCTGGGCAGGGACCACTGCCTTCTGACTGAAGATTTTAAGGCTGCACAGTTCCCTGTCTTACACTGATATCCTCAGCAAACCAGTCTGCCTAAAGGCCAGCCCCTGTGCGATGCTCTCCAAGGACCATGAACAGGGTGTTGCCAGCAGTTACAAGTTACCATGCTGCTCTGTCTACGCAAGCACATTTATTCTTTCTCCAAATCTTCTGCAAAGGTTGGGGCCCCGCCTTGGACAGAAAGTCCTGACAGTTTGGTGGATCAGAAAGAAAGCCCTGAAAGCTTTTATTTATATTTATATATATTTTTAACCAAAAGGCCTGTCTTTGTTTCCTAGTTTCTGGAAAATCCAGCTTGAATGAGGGAGTCTGTGCAAACCACTGCACGGTATGTACTTCTCTAGAGTTATTTAGTTTCAGTGATTCACCTTAATCACATCCCACTGGTTTTAGTTCCTATAGCAGCTGTGGTAACCCTCCCCCATGGAGTAGAACACAATCATACAGAAACCATTTGTAGATTTAATACAATACAGTCCCCAAAAATATTGCCTACCGTTGCAATATCTGTCACAAAGGCGGGTATGGAAAACCCAGGAATTACAGGTAAATATCGCATAACCTGATCTACTTCTACCATCACGCTGCCCACAAAGAGAAGAAAAACTACTCCACCAGGATATGCAAAAAACGTGATGAAAAATTTAACTTTGAGCTCACCGCTGAAGTAGTCAAAAGCATATCATGTCTCATTCAAAGAAACAGCTGATCAATATATCAGAGGCTGATTCAGTGAATGCTGCATATCCTGCAAAGACACTCTCTCTTCCCCTGGTATTTCTTATTCTAATTGTGCACAGCAAAGAAATTACTGAGTGTTAAAACAAGGGACTCAAGAAGCCACCACAAAATCATTAATTTATTACTATTAATTTGTATTAGGACTGCCATGTTTCAATTGATCAGAAATTAAACTAAACCCGTGGCCTAGCCCCTACTATTATGCTAAGTGTCTTCCCAAGACAGAATGCTGATTCTTTGATCAGTAATCACCTTATCCTGCTGCTCATCTCCTCTTCTTTTCCCTCCATTGTCTCTACTCATTGCCTTCCATGCCAATCTGAGCATGTTCCCAGAGTATTGTCTTCCTAGCCCCCTTCTCCTCTTTCCCATTTTCTTAGCTTTCTTTTTCTGTCCCTTTTGACCTGCCATTTTCCTATTATTTCTCATCATTCCTCTCTGTGCCTATGACTGCATCCTCCTCTTTGCTCTCCCCTCTCATAGAGCTGCCCATTCTTTCTCCAGCTCAGAGATCTGTTACCTACTCAGGGAGTTCCTCTGCAGTGTAATGTGCACTGTGCAGATCAAGGAGCTGAATGCTGCCCACAGGAGTGCACCCACTCTGCGACTCAGGTTGAGTAGAACACTGACTAAAAGCACACAGCCGGTGAGAATCTCAGGGGAGCTGGAAGAGCAACTCCCACAAAAGAATTGGAGAAGCAGACTGAAAGTCCAAACTAGGTGTTTGATCTAAAACCAAGGTAGGACAGGAAAGGCAGAGGGTTGGTGTCCTAGAGACTATATCCCAGTGATGTATGAAAAGCATCTCCCCACCCCATTCCCTGTGGAGTAAAGAATAGCCATCATTGAATTACAAATTGCTCCTCTCCCCCCTACTCATCAGATGTATTCTCTGCATAGGTTCTGTAAATCTTCATCCCAAAATGAATACAGGGTGGGGGCAAGAGGTAAATTAGGGGCCAATGCATAATAGATAGTCCTAACTCACTCTTTTACACTACAGAAGAGATCCTGGGTAGACACATCAGAGAGGTGAATTAAACAGCTTAATGTGAGTAACTCTGAGGGTATGTCTATACTGCAGTTAGACAGCAGTGGCTGGCCAGTGCCAGCTGATTCTGTTGGCGCTAAAGGGCTGTTTAATTGCAGTTTAGACATTCGGGCTGTCTCCAAGCTCTGGGACCTTTCAACCTGATAGGGTCCTAGAGCTGGGCTCCAGCCCAAGCACGAACATCCACACCAAAGTTAAAAAGCCCCTGAGCGTGAGCCAGCTGGCATGGGTCAGTCGTGGGTTTTTAACTGCAGTGTAGATATACCCTAGGTGAGCTAACGAGAGCTGTATATCTAAAGGGTTAGGAACAGATGAAATTGCTAATACACCAGCTATACTGACATGCAGAGACCTCTCTAGCCATTGGCTTGCTCTAGGATATCATAGAGAATTAGTCTCCTGCACTTACTGCCTCTTTCTCTCTGTCCATGATTGTTTCCAGCTCTTCAAAATGACGAAGTTTGATCTCCAGTTTCTTCATTTGTGTTTCCACCAAGAGGGCTACCAAGGACTTGATCTTTCGCTCTTCCACTGCTGCTAGGTGCTGAGGATAAAAAACACACAAGTTAGAGCCCTCCCGCACACACCACCTTTACACAATAGATAGTTCAGTGCTTTAAGGGATTGAATAACCAAGAATGAATTGTGTCCTAGATTTTCCATTTGTTCACTTTAACCAAATATTTATTTTCTTTTCATTTTCAATCCTTTATCTTCACAATGATAGTCCTCCTAGTATTTCTGAAGTCTTTAGTCAAAGTAGATAGACGTTAAGCTTATATATAAATGAATACTGTACAAGCTCACTCCCCCTAGACCAGGGGTCGGCAACCTTTGAGAAGTGGTGTGCCAAATCTTCATTAATTTAAGGTTTTGCGTGCCAGTAATACATTTTACATTTACAGGGGCCGGCGGATGGAACCCCAGACTGGCAGCGGGCTGAGTGGGGCTGGCGGCCAGGACCCCGGCTGGCAGGGGCCGGTGGATGGGACCCCAGACTGGCAGCGCAGGTGGCAGACGGAACCCCAGACTGGCAGCGGGCTGAGCGGCTCAGCCCGCTGCCGGTCTGGGCTTCCATCTGCCAGCTGGGTTCCCAGCCGCCGGCCCTGCTCAGCCCGCTGCCGTCCATCCAGGCCAGCAGCTGGCTGAGCGCGGCCGGTGGCCAGGACCCCAGCTGGCAGCAGAGTGCCACTAAAAATCAGCTTGCGTGCCGCAGGTTGCCGACCCCTGCCCTAGACAATTTGATTATCCCTTAAAACCGTCTGAATTTGTGAGCAACTGGAGTAGAGGTTTTAAAATGGAAGAGTGAGGGGCTAACAAGGGATCAAAGGGCAAAAGATTTATGGTGGCTCAGTTACGTGTGATCTAAAAAGTCTTTACTATTGTGGTGAATGCGAGGCTACTACACAGAGACACACTCAGGAAGATTGAGGAAATGACAGATATACCTCTGCCATTCTAGAGATCTTTGCTCAAGTGAACTGGAGGTTATGTAACTAGTTAAAATGGATCCCATTACAACATTCAACAGCAAACAAGTAAAATTACAATTTTGCCCATCGTAGCAGTTCCATTTCAACCAGGGAGAGAGTCTACACAGCCTTAAGTAGCTACGCCTCACTATCAGTGTATAAAGTTTGTTGAAAGGTTATATAAAAGAAACCCCAGTTTTCCTTTACAACCAGCTTACAGCATTGCTCTTTTATGAAAAACTGAATCTACATTCGAAATTTAAGAGTGCAAAAACAGATTACAGACAAAACCAACAGGCCTCAAATATCTCCCTCAAGCTTTACCTTTACTATTGTGGATAATCAGATGTATGTCTAAGGATGATTAATGATTTAAATACATGACATCTAAATGAGACAGCCCTCAAGCGCTGCTTGAGTATTTAAAGTTTAAAATATAAAAAGACAGAAGCACTTTAATTGACCACACATACTTGCTATTGTTACAACTCATTGCTCAATAACAAAAACTCCCCCCCAAAATGGTTACCTATCTTTCGTAACTATTGTTCTTTGAGACGTGTTGCTCATGTTCAGTTTATTCTAGGTGTGCACATGCCTACGTGCACAGTTGTCAGAGATTTTTGCCTTAGCGTGCACAGTTGTCAGTAGGGTTGGCTGTAGTGTCCCTTTCAGTGCCACACATGTGTGGGTGTATTAGGCGCTGCCGACCCTACACCCTTTTGGTTCCTTCTTGCTGGCAACTCCGACAGAGGGGTAGTAGGGCGGATAATGGAATAGACATGAGCAATACATCTCAAAGAACAGTTACGAAAGGTAGGTAACCATTTTTTCTTCTTCATGCGTTTGCTCACGCCAATTCCATTCTAGATGACTAACAAGCAATATCCTCGGAGGTGGGCTTGGAGTTCAGTCTAGCGGCTTGCAGTACTGTTCTACTGAAGCCAGCATCGTCTCGGGCCTGCTGGATAAGTGCGTTATGGGACGTGAATGTGTGGACGGATGACCATGTGGCCTCCCTACGATGTCCCGGAGAGGTGCTTGGGCTAGGAAAGCTGCCGAAGAGGCTTGCACCCTGATCGAGTGGGCGGTTACAATCGCTGGTGGTGGTATCTTCGCCTGATCATAGCAGTAGCGAATGCAGGCAGTAATCCAAGAAGAAATTCTTTGAGAGGACACTGGATGACCTTTCATCTTGTTGGCCACTGCGATGAACAATTGTGTAGACTTGCAGAATGGCTTGGTCCTTTCAATGTAGAAGGCCAGCGCCCTCCTGACATCTAGGGAAATCAATCTATGCTCCTCCTCCTCCTCCTCATGCAGCTTTAGAAAAAAGACAGATAAGTAAATGTCCTGGCCTATATGAAACTGCGAGACCATCTTGGGCAGGAAAGCTGGGTGTGGCCACAGCAGGACCTTGTCTTTGTAGAAGTCTGTATAGGGTGGTTCTGAGGTAAGTGCCCTAATCTCAGAGACCCGGCGGGCATATTTTATTACAACTAGGAATGCGACTTTCCAGGACAGGAGGAGAGAGCAAGAAGTCAGAGGCTCGAAGGGGGACCCTATGAGCAGCAACTGCACAAGATTCAGGTCCCATGGCAGAACAGGGTCCCTGACATGCGGGTTGAGGTGCTCAAGGTTCCCCTTCCTTCTCTGGGGACAGCTCCTTAGTTATTGGAGGCCGATGTGCTGCTCCCGCGTTGGATTTGGTACCATGTTCCAACTCTGGGTGCCAGGGGTGGTTTGTTCGAGGCGGCCAGGGAGGACTGGTGGGAATATGGGACCAGCATTATGGGCATGCCCCACAGGTTCCAGTACAGTCATTGAGGGGGCCTATGTCCCTGCTACCATGCGGTTGCTGCAGGTGCTGTGCTGGTTTCGCGGGTTGGTGGCGAATCCCCCTCCTTGGCAAGGGGCTGAACTCCTGGTCCTACTTAGACCATTGCCCTTCCGGTGACCAGGGCAGAGCTGTTGAGGCCTGAGTTTGCCGACTGACCCTGGTTGGTGACCAGCGAGGTGAAGAACGGTGCCTGCCCAACGAGCGGCACCTGGGAGATGGAGACCGGTGCCAGGACAGGGAGTGATTCCCACCCCGGTGGAGACTGGCATCTGGGAGACTCTCTGGGTGAAGGTGACCTGCGCTGTGGTGATCTTTGGTGGGAAGCTGTCAATGTTCAACTAGACAATGGTTCGACATGAGCAAGCACTCAAAAAAGTCAGCCAGTCCAAATAACTTGCATCCAAGTGTTTTGAAAGAGCTGGACTAAGAGCTCTCTGAACCATTAATGTTGATTTTCAACAAGTCTTGGAACACCAGGGAAGTTGCAGAGAACTGGAAGAAATTAATGTTCAGCCAATATTTAAAAAGGGTCAACAGAATGACTTGGGTAATCATAAGCCTGTCAACCTGACACTGATCCCAGGCAAAATAATGGAACAGCTGATATGGCATATGATTAATAAAGAAATTAGGATATTAATAATTAGTGGCAATCAATGTGGGTTTATAGAAAACAGATCCTGTCAAACTAACTTGATATATTTTTTGATGAGATTAAAAATTTGGCTGATAAAGGCAATAGTGTCAATGTAATATATTTAGACTTCCTTAAGGTATTTGACTTTGTACTGTATGACATTTTGATTACAAAAAGTGAAACAAAACAAAATCAACATGCCACACATTAACTGGAGTAAAAACTAGCTGACTGATAGGTCTCAAACCGTAATTGTAAATGGGGAATTGTCATCAAACAGATGAGTTTCTAGTGGGGCCCTGCAGGGATCAATTCTTGGCCCTACACTATTCAACCTTTTTATCAATGTCTGGAAGAAAATAAAATCACTGATAAAGTTTACAGATGACTCAAAGATTGGAGGAGTGCTAAATAAGGAAGAGGGCAGGTCACTAATACAGATAGAGTTGGATCACTTGGTAAGCTAGGCACAAGCCAACAATATGCTTTCCAATATGGCCAAAGGTAAAATCATACATTTAGGAACAAAGAACGTTGGCCATACTTAAAAGATGGGGGACTCTACCCTAGGAAAAACTAATTCTGAAAAAGACCTGGGCATCACGGTGGATCAGCTGAACATGAGCTCCCTATGCAAGGCTGTGGACAAATGGACTAAAGAGATCGTTGGAAGTATAAACATGGAACTACTGAGTAAAAGCAGAGAGGCTATTTTACCTCTATTTGGCACTGATGCGACTGCTATTGGAATAGTGTGTCCAGTTCTGGTGTCCACAATTCAAGAAGGATGCTGATAAACTGGAAAGGGGTTCAGAGAAGAGCAAAAAGAATAACTAAAGAATTGGAAAATATGCCTCATAGTGACGACTCAAGCAGCTAAATCTATTTAATTTATCAAAATGACAACTAAAGGGTGACTTGATCACAATTTATAAGTACCTACCTGGGGAACAAATATTTGATAATGGGCTCTTCAATCTAACAGACAAAGGTATAACATGATCCAGTGACAGCTCAAGCAAGAAACTGAGATTAGCAATAAGGCACAAATTTTTAACGGTGAGGGTAACTAACCACTGGAACAATTTAACATAAGAATGGCCATATTGGGTTAGACCAATGGTCCATTTAGCCAAAATCCTGTCTTCCAACCATGGCCATTGCCAGGGGCTTCAGAGGGAATCAACAGAACAGGCAATTATCGAGTGATCCATCCCGTCGTCCACTCCCCACTTATGGCAATCAAAGGCTAGGGACACCCAGAGCATGGGGTTGCATCCCTATCTGGACTAATAGTTTTGGCCTTCACAACATCCCCTGACAATGAGTTCCACAGATTCACTCTGCACCGTGTGAAGCAGTACTTTCTTATGTTTGTTTTAAACCTGCTGCCTATTATTTTCATCAGGTGACCCATGGTTCTTGTTTAAGTGAAGGAATAAATAACACTTCCTTATTCATCTTCTCCACACCATTCATGAATTTATAGACCTCTACCATATCCCGCTTAGACGCCTTTTTCCAAGCTGAGAAGTCCCAGATTTTTAAATCTCTCCTTATATGGAAGCTGTTCCATACCCTTAATCATTTTTGTT